GGAGGGTGGGAAGAGATTAACCAAAGAAATTATATGCATATAAGCATAACCCATGGACACAGACAATGACCGGGTGAAGGCCTGGGGAGGGGGTGGGAGCGAGGTGGAGGGGGTCAGTTGGGGGGAAAAAATGGGACACCTGTAATACTTTCAACAATAAAGATGAATTTAAAAAAAAAAGACATCTTAATGTCTCTCAATGTAAGTTAATCATAGCTTTTAAGACTAAATACTTTGGGGAAGTTGCACAAGAGAGCTCCATCTTTCTTCCTGTCAGAGAGGAGTCTTCTGTGCCACGTGCAGTCACCTTGCTCGTTAGATGAGTCCTGGAAGAGGAGGCGGGAGCAGAAAAATATGCCCTGGCTACTGACCGTTTCCCAGGGAGTCCCCAGCATCCATGAAGGCCAAGTTTTTCCAGCGTTAAGTCCAGAGGGCAAAAGTGATAGCAATACTCAACAGTGTAAGGGGAGGGGGGCGTTGCAGACCCCACTTGGGAGTTTAAGTCCAGACTGAGGAGAGCCAACTGCTGCCCACACACTGGGAAGCAGCAATTCCTGCCTCATCACAGTAACCTGCCATGCTTCTTTGTCCATGAGCTCAGCTGTTTTAGTGGTTGACCGTGGGTGATACACTATAAACTAAAAAAGAAAAGAAAATCTTTCCTTAAGGTGTAAAAATTCTATTATTCTACTTTCTAAGAAAAATGTACCTCTTAGATTAAGATACTTTCCAGAATCATTGATCTGATCTCTGTTTACTCGATTACTGGTTTTCCCACAACTTACAACCTCACTATCCAGCCCTCCCCTGACAGTACAATTTGACTCAACGTGAAATGAAGAGAGATCTAAAGTTGGGAGCTGTCAAGCTGTGTTTGAATCCCAGCTCTACCTCCTAATTGCTGCCAGAATTTGGGCAAATCACTTAATTGCTCTAAAACTGTTTCTTCATTTGCTTCTTAGGGTATAATGTATTTGAAAACCTCTAACAGGTACTGCCACAGAACAGATGTCAGTATTTAAAAATTTTTCGTTATTTTCAAAAACATGTAATAAACTACAGTAACAGTTTTTTGGTATTGTTTTTGTTTTGTTTGGTACAGATGATTCAATTGATTAAGAAATTATAATTACTATACCAATCACGAGTTAATGGGTATCCTAAAAACACTGCCATTTTATGTCACACTGAAAGAGTTCTGGGGACACAGCAAGGAGTGTCAAAGCTGGCACAGGGCCCCAGAGCTTCTGACTTGCCATTACCTCTGCCTCTTCTCCCAAGTAGTCTTGGCTACTATAGCTAAACTCCTGTACTTCAGACAAGTCAGTACATTATTAAAACCCAACTAGGTACCAGGGCGACAGCCGTTCCAAAAGGGGTTCTGGGATTTATGCAATTTAAGGTAAGTGTCTGGGTATTGAAGTGTCCCTAAAATTTTAGCCAGAGTCAGCAAGTTCCATGAAGGTTCCATCTCTATGACATTAGAGTTGGGTGTCCCAAGGCTCCCAGGGGCCCAATCAGCTGGACAGTCTCTTTCCCGACTTAGCCAAATATAGGTAATGAGTTAAAACCAAGAACCAGCAAAACTAGGATGTGTGTTAATATCTACAACTTCGTGAACAGGTGTTGCTGTTCCTATTTTTATGTAATGTGTGGTGGGTAATCATCACCCAGTATGATGCTTAGTAAGATCTTTTCACTAGGGACTCACATCTGTTACCTGAGAATAATGGGAACAAGGTGTCTTAGAAAAGTATGAACTTCGGCATTCGGTCTAAGTTTGAATCCAAGCTATGCCTGACAAGTTACTTAATCTCTTGGGAACAGTTTCCTCAGATGGAAAAAAAAAAAAGAAAATACTTTGAATTAAAATAAAGTGTATTTTGACAACAATAAATGGCCAAAAATGTAACCCATCATTTTTACTAACTGCACTTTTATGCTGAGAGTAAATTATAACTTTAAATGCTTTTGAATTCCTTAAAAGGCATCATCCTTGACAAGTTATCACAAATAATGAAAGCTGCCATATAAAGGAAGTGGGTTTATGTAATCATCTTTTCAATTAATTATTACTCCCTTTTAAGAAGTTTCAAAACAGAGTGAAAATCAGAGATATTGTGTCCCGTGATTGTGTGAATCTGAATATAATGCAGTCAGAACATGTATCCCATCCTCNTAGAGTGAAAATCAGAGATATTGTGTCCCATGATTGTGTGAATCTGAATATAATGCAGTCAGAACATGTATCCCATCCTCTGCAACAAGCCTGTCTTGGTCATTTTATTAACCTCAACTCTGAGATTTATGTAATTGATTATTTTTAGACTACCATCACAGCATCACAGGAGAATTTTATTATAAATTTGGATATCACCATTGTGTTGATCTTTTCATGTGTCAATTTCTGCAGGCTACATACCCCACTTATTCCATCAAACACTAATCTAGATGTTACTGTGAAGGTATTTTGTTGATACGATTAGAGTTCATAGTCCACATTAAGAAAAATTATCCTAGATAGTATGGTGGGTCTGAGTCAACCAGTTGAAAGGACTTAAAAGCAGAACTGAGGCTTGAGGAAGAAATTCCACCTGGGCATAGCAGCTTCAGGTTGTGCCTATGATTCTCAGCCTCTACCTGATGGTCTGCCCTCTGGACTTCAGATTTGCCCAGCCAGTCCCATAATTGCGTAGGCCAGTTTTTGCAATAAATCTCTTAATAAATATCTTCTACTAGTTCTGTTCCTCTGGTTGAAAGCTGACTGATATAGCTAGGAAATTTTTCTTTTTGCATTGAGTCTCACTGAATGCACCTTGCTACTTAAGGTAGTAATGGCTCCTAAAGTTTCTCTTTATTATGAATGAGCTGAGTGGGGTTCATTATTTTCATGGTAGATGTGAAAATGCATTTAGTTTAACATGTTCCTCTATTTTGCTGTATCTTTCTTACCTTTCCATTTCAGAAGAAACTGTCAAGTGTAGATTCAATGACAACCTTCATTTGTAAATCAACTTTCTTTTGTAACTTAAAATAAAAGAAATATATTTAGCTATTGCATGTGAATGAAAAAAATAAAATTCCATGTTTGACTGGAAAAAAATTAACTCTTATACAAATAAATGTTATTTCCTAGGGATTTAAAAGTCGATTTTAGATAGGCCTTAGATTTTAGAAATGGGAGCGCAGTAGGAAATCATTTTTTCAAAATAGGAGCAGATGCTGTCATTTATTTGCCAAGTGACAATCTAATTTTAAATGACTCAGCAGTAAAATTTTCATAACTCTTCCAGATGGAATTTCTTAAAACTGTTTCTTAATACTAATGATCTCTTGCCAAGTTTGATTTCAACCTTAACTATCCCTGAGAACTTCTAAAACTACAGTACAGTACACACATACCAGTTTTGAGATCAAATATGAAAATGAGAACTCAAAGCAAGCAGTATTTGAAACTAAACTCAGATTTTAATTTAACAGGAAGTATTATTCATGATAAATTTTCTAAGATAGGATAAAGTAGTCCTAAAAAAAAAAAAAAACTCTTTTAGAAACGTTAAACATTTATTTTCTTATTGGTAGCACATTTCCTGGTTGTAGTAAGAATATGCATAAATAACCATACTTTTTTTTGATTTCTGACTATTAACAGTCCAAAATTCAAAGTGTTTTCTTTTTCCCCGGACAGGTCAGCTACTATTTTAAAATAAATTATTTTTAATTACAAAGTCCTAGTACCAATATATACCTAAGAAATGTATTACCATTTACCTGTAATAACAAACATGTTTTTTTGATATTTTTATTATAAAAACTGAGTTTTCAATGAAGGCAGTTTTGGAAGGACTATGGTTCAGAAAATAAATCTGAATTTAGTCCTTTAAACTTAAAACTAAAAATCATGGCAGAATAAAATGTCAAGCAAGTGAAAACTTTTCTGTGATATATACATAAATATTTTCATGTAAACAAAAGCAAAGATCAAGAAAAATTAAATATCTTTGTTAGCAACCAAAATACACAGATTTTAAAAGGTTATTTTATTTTCTTCATGCTTCCATTGAACATGACTGGCATAAGGAGAGCAGCAAGAACTAGATGAATCTTTACATTCCCCTCATAGTCTTCAGGAGGTTACATACAATAAAAACACCTCTCTGGGAGAAAAGATATTAGAGGAACTAGACTCTAGAAAGTCACGACTTCCAAATATTAAGTCACTCCTTTTGCTCTCCTGTTGAAATGAGATGGCTTATCAGAATTTTGCCAGTTGAAAGAAGGTAAAGCTAATACTGCTGACATCCAGCACTAACACACATGGCAGCAAATTAGGCACAAGGTTAAGCAGATTTTCCTCTGGATGCGGATTACCCATGCACGAGAAGGTAACGGCTTCCAACACAAAACAAACATTTCCGAGTAAAACAGACAATATTGAAGTGGGTATATTTTTGATAGAAGTGTGTTTTGAAGTATGCCCCAGGGACCACCTGCAACAGGATCAGGCAGAATGCTCAATGAAATAAAAGTGTGCATTCTGGGCCCAATCCCAGCCCCTCTGGGAATACTTAAAGTTTGAATATCACTACTCCAGACTATTGGGGATTTCATTCGACCACAAATAGTTCACTATGTCTTTCATGCTTATTAGCCATAAGGAAAACGAAAACAAACACATTTCTGATTATGCCAGTCAGTGGTGATAATTAGTAGTGGTGTTTATTTTCCCCGCAAGAAAACACAGGGGAGTAGGCAACATAGGAGTCTGCACCTAAATTTTTCAAAGGTACTCCATAGTACCTTTTTTTTAAAAGCTTTCAAATTGTATACATAATAAAAACGTTCAAAATGGTTTGTAAACTGTCATCTGATCAAGACTATCCAGTGTAAAGAGAACTGCTGATCGGTGTTGCTAAATTCTCACAAGGCCCCTTCTTTCTTCTTTCACAAACGCCGAGCACCTCAGCTCTCAGCAGGCGGTCCAGAGCGCTTGCCAGAGGATGCGCCGCCTGCCAAGCAGCACAGAAGTACCTAAGGACTGCTCATAAAAGGACAAGTAAAACAAAAGCGCAGTTTCAACTCCAACCAAAAAGGAGTCTCAAGACCTACTGCCAATATATATTGTAAGAAGAATACAGAGCATGCCGACTTTCCTTAGAGAAAGTTTAATTTCAAATGTATTTAATATCTGCTTGAAATCCAGTTTATATTGAAAATGGACAGTATGATATACTTCAGTGTGCTACTAGTATCTACTATAGTGTTTATGTTCTGTAAGATCCCTATGGGCACAACAGATTTACCTGTGAATAATATAAGTAGAAACCAAAGAGGTAGGTGACTATCATCATCAGATGATACCAAAACATATTAAATAATATACATGAGTCCAGAAAAAGTTCTTTAACTGGAAAATGAGTTCCAACACCATTACAATTGCAAGAGCAGGGTTTCCCAGGTTTTTTGTGATCTCATCAACCTCCTTAAGTCCTAACTCCTGATACTGTGCCGCGTGCTCTTCAGATGGTCAATGATAAGAAGTAACTAATGAAATAAAATGTAAAGAAATAATACTGGAGACCAAAGAGTGAGGCTGACGTCCACTGGGCTCTTCAAAGATCTCCACTCTCACAGGGAGGAAAGCATATTATAGTTGGGCCAGACCTCAGATTCATCAAATCCAACTCTCTGGTTGTACAGCTGAAAAAACAGAGGCTCATTTGTCCCACTAGTCTACAAAGCACTAAAATTCCAAAAAGGTGCTATAAGTCCAAAAAGTGTTCATGGTTTACTTACCTACTTATAAAGCCCATGGTGTAGCCACGAGGCTACACTTTCAGCCCTTACTGCCTTCGTTCCTGTCAGCTATTTTATAAAGTGTATTAGTGGCTCCAGACAAAAGGGGACCAAAGGGTCTAAATGCACCAAGGCGGTCAGATCATCAGCAAGAGAAAAATAATTTGAAACCCTAGACCTGCCATATTACAACTACACTCAGACCAGGGCTTATCTTTGCTTTGTAGGAGCCTCACCTCTGAGCACACTCACAAACTCCAGCTCTGCTATGGGCTCACACGGATAACAGTGCTGTCCTAGAAGCCCTAGAACATTAAAAAACAGCTGAACAACTGGAAACCTCCAAACCCGCAAGGCGGAGACCTACATACAGCTGTACTGAACTTCTCCAAATTGTCAGTCATTTGTTTTGTAAACCAAAAAATCACCTTACATCCTGATAGCCCTATTTATCTAATATTTTAAGGTTCCATTGTGAAAGGGTGGTTGTGGGTGATTTCATTTTTATATTTCCCAGACTTTCTGCAATAGTTTCACATTTCTTTTGGTAGTAAAAAAATTAAGTTATTTTTTAAAAGGTTTTATAGTCTTAAAAAATAAAAGGATATGCAAAGTTCCTCTTGACTGTGAAACATCTGAACCTGAATGGTGTGTGCGTGGCACAGTGAGTGCACAGCCTCAAGACTTTTGGGATCCTGGCTCAACCACTAACCTTGGGCAGGATTTTAGTCTCTGAGACTTGCTTTCTTCATGTGTAAAGGAAAAAATAATACCTACCTCACAGGATGCTGTGGGGATAAAATGATGCACAGTGCCTGGCACATGGTAGGTGTCCAATAGGCGGCAGGCCCTTCTCCCTGCTGGATGCAGTGAGAATCCTGGAGTAAAAGGAATCACCAAAGCCCGCAACAGCCACCCCTCACTGCATCCCATTTAAATATGCAAGGATTCTCTGTCTCCTTGACTTTGCCCTATTGCTCTAAAGAATTGCTATTGTGCTTAGAAAAATCTCTACATTTCTATGTTCTCTACTTTAAAACTGCACATGCAGATAAAACATTTTTAAAAACTATCTTGCTAGAAATGACAATGCAATGTTTCCTAAAGCACAAACATGTCATGTATAAAAACAATTCTGAAAAACATGACTGAATTAGTTTGTACATTGTTTCTTAAAGTGCACCAAAGTAAATATTAATGACCTTTGAAATGTCACTAACCCCCTTGGGTGTGTTTTTTTAAATAAAAGTAAATCTTTATCTACTGAGATGTACGTGGTTTTTGGCTCCAATACAATGGCAAAAAGCAGCAGTGTCTTCCAGAAGAAAAGAATTAATCAACTCAACTAAGCGCATCTGAGCAGCATACAAAACACTTGCAATTAAGTCAGTGTAAGTGCAGGCTCAGTAAAGCACAATCCTGATTCCTACTTCCAGAACGAAATCAACCAAAGAAACGAAAAACCAACTCCCCACCCTAAATTGAGGATTTCTCTCAAATCCTGGAGGTAACATCTATGATCACTTCCCTAGTGTGTATCCTTGGTAACAGAATTATAACTAGTCACCATTCTTTCTATACACTGCACACACACGCACTTACACACGAACCTATAAAAAACAGTCAAGTGTGAGTGGAAAAGCCATGTGGAAGAAAATGCAGAGTCAGATAAAGAGCAACCATGACCTCAAATGTCAGGCAGCTCAGCTCCCATATTCACAACACCGTCCGATGTTCCCCGCACACGTACACAGCACTGGGCCGTATCCGTCGCCTTGTGTGACGCGGAAGCTGCGGCAAAAACTTGAAGGACTTGGGCATCATGTCCAGGCAGGCATCGTGGAATTTCTTAATTCTCCAGTAGTAAATCAGGGGGTTCAATGCAGACTTGAGGTAGCAGAGCCACAGTAGCCAGGTGCTAATCTCAAAGAAGCTGTGCTTATAGTAAAAGTGCTGACTGAACGTTGCCACAAGGCTGTAGGTGGTGAACGGGGCCCAGCAGACGATGAAGACAGCAAAGAGAATCAGGATGGTGGTGAAGGCACGTGTTTTAAAGCCCATGTCAATGCTCATCTGGAAGGGTCTCTGCAGACTCATGAGACCCAGTTTGCTGGCCTGGCTGAGGCACATGCCCTCGGGGTAGCTATGGATCCTCAAGGCATTGTGCCGAAGAGTGTTGAGTATGCCCATAAACGAGTACAGTATCACCAGGAAGGGTATGAAGAAGGAAATCAGAGAAATCAAAATCACGTAAGCCTGGTAACCTGGATCGGTTGTGTACCCAAACACGCACTGCGGGGCTCGAGAAGGAATCTGCAGGTCAGGGCTGCCTACAGCCAAAGGGAAAGCTATACAAAAGGAAGTCGCCCAAGAAACTGCGATCAGAACCTTAGCCCTGTATGGATTTAGCTTATCCTGCCTCTGGACTATAATAAGGAACCGATCAATGCTAATGATGAGCAGGATGGCTACGCCCTCAATCACAAACAACCAGAAAAACATAGCAGATACCCTACAGAAGAACTTCCCGAAAATCCACCTGGTAGTGAGAATAGTTACCAAGGCAAAGGGCATGTTCAGCACTGCAAGCAGCATGTCTGCGAACGCCAGGCTGGCGAGGAGGATGTTAATGGCAGATCGCATGGCAGCTTTCTGGTAAACCATGAGGCAAACCACCAAGTTCCCGAGAAAAGACACTAACAGAATAAATACCATTATAGCAGACAGGATGATCTGGAGAGGCAGGTTTAGGCCCTTATAAACTGCTGGTGTTGGGGGTACAGCTGTGCCATTTGCGGTCAAGGGACTCATCCCCGTGGGAGGCATGGTTTCAAAACTGTATCTAAGCAGCGGCCCAACACCAGGAGGCTGGAACGGTGGTGGGACCGTCATATTCATATGGGTGCTTTCATAGACGACGAATGTCGCGTTGGTTGCCCCAGCATGGGACGCAGTCAACATTGCGGAGAAGACCATGGTTTCAGTAGAGTGGAAGGCGCCAAGGGACAGGCAGGTGTTCTCCCAGCGTCTCAACCCCGAGCAGCGGCCTCATGTTTCACTGATGGGCTTGGAAACACGTTCTGGAAAACAGAGTCGCATCTTCCACAGGAGTCCTGTAGCCTGAAAATAAGCCCAAAACACAGAAAGCAAATGAGAAACGAGCTTTGTAAATAACAGCTGACTTCTTACCTTTCATCATAAAGGATCAGTTTGGCTTTTTATAACCTTTCAAAAATATTTACATCTCTAGCATGGGCAACACGGAGATGTTGTTCTGTTGATTTATTTTTAGTCAGTCATGACAGAAATTTCATGGCATTCATATATGAATGGAAGTGAGAAGAAATCAAAATGTGTTCACCACTTCAAAGTCAAAAGGTAGAACCTAACTGTTAATTTTTCTTTCACATTTCCAGTAGCAGCACGGCCTTTCCACAGTCACTATTAATACAGATTTTATTACCTCGTTCTGAGAGTACTCATATTTTTCTTAATAGCTCTTTGCTAGAGGTTCATATTCTATTTTTACATTAACACAAACTAGATGGCAAAAAACCTGAACTCGGTTTTCTATTTAACACTTTGGTTCTAACACCTACTAGGTTATTTTCTATAAAGGTCTGAAGCCATTTCTGGGCTTTCTATTTCTTTGTGTTTCTTCCCAGAAATCCACCATCACCATCCTGGAAAAGTTATTCAAAAAGACAAGAAAAATTATATGTAAAAAGTCTTGGTCATATTTTCAAGGCTTCTTTTCTTTTTCTAAAGCTTTCTTTGATTCTCATGACCACCAACTTCCATCCTTTATTTTATGATACAAATACTTCTATCTGAGAAGATAGAAAAAACTGAGAAATTTCTTTTCCCTAAAACCGACTTTATTGTGCGTTAGCAACTTGATAGAAGATGTCAGCCAAATAATAAAGCTGGGATTTCTAAAAGGAATTACCACAAAAATACTCAGTAGAGAATTTACTCCAGAAAACTTACATATATTTGGCCATCTTATTCCAAAATGTTTCCTACCACCTTTCTCTTATTCTTACCCCCAATTTCTGCAACCCTAAAGTTTTCCGTAGGAGACTTTATTAGTCTACCAACTTACTAACCCATTTTTGTGATGTGAGTTCTTCCTTCTTTATTGCAGAGATGACCTCTTTAATTAGAAAGAATTCTCTTCGGATTTCTGGCTAGATTCTTTTACTAAATCCCAAAGATTGGGGGGAAAAGTAATGCACCAAGGCTTAAAATAACACTGTAACTTGCTCATTATTTGGACTTAGAATTAGTTATTGATTTTAGGGGTAAATGCCAAAAGCTCATTTATTCATTTCTTGGGGTATAGAGGGTGGAGGCCCCCCATTTGACAGGCCCAAGATCCAGCACTGTGGCCAAACTGTTAGCTCTCTATCATACTTGTCTCTCTCTACAATCCCCTGTTGTCAGGGCTGTCTTTATGAGTAAGGAGAATACTAATCTGCTTGTTCAAAATATTAATTTTACTAGCTATTGTCACTTTTACAGCTTAATTTCTTTATCCCTACTATACGTTATCCATTTTCACTTTTAAATGCAAAATATACCTGGATAAGATGCCACACTAAGCCAGTGACTCTCAAATCTTATTAACCACAAAGGGCCAATGATTAGGGGGTAGTGGTAGTTAGAGAGCTATACACCATAATCACCATAATCTCTTTAGAACTACCTAAACATACATATAAATAATAAAGACAATGCTTGCTATATAATCAGCCTCAATACAAGTCTATCTACAGAAAAATATTATAAACAGGCAAATGTGTCTTAAGCCTAAAAACAGCTATAACTGTGCTTGATCAAGCAAACAAACATATATCCATCCTGATGTAGTACACACTTTATTTTTTATTAAAATATAATTGACATACATTAATTTTATTTAAGGTACAATATGATTTGATATTTATATATACTATAAAATGATCATCACAATAAGTCTAATTAATATCGTCATCATACATAGTTAAAATTATTTTTATTGTGATGAGAATTTTTAAGATCTACTATCTTAGCAACTTTCAAATATGCAATGCAATATTATTAACTATGATCACCATGCTATAAATTTCATTCCCATGACTTATTTTTTAACTGGAAGTCTGTAAAACCTTTTGACTCCTTCATCCATTTCAGCCACTCCCTATCCCCGCCCCCGCAAACTATTCTCTGTATCTATGACCTTGGCTTTTTCGTTTTATTTTTTAGATTCCACATATAAGTGAGATTATACTATACTCATCTTTCTCTGTCTCACTCATTTCACTTAACATAATGCCCTCAAGATCCATCCATGTTGTTGCAAATAGCAAGATTTCATTCTTTTATATGGCTGAATAATATTCCATTGTATGTATGGAATATATATTCCAAATATATTGATTCATACATACATACATACATGTGTATGTATACACGACATTTTCTTTATCCGTTCATCCATCAATGAACACTTAGGTTGTTTCCATGTCTTGGCTATTGTGGATAATACTGCAATGAACATGGGGGCAGATATCTTTTCAAGTTATATTGCCATTTTCTTTGGATAAATATCCAGAAGTGGAATTGGTGGGTCATATTGTAGTTCTCTTTTTAATTTTTGGAAGAACCTCCATGCTGTTTTCCATAGTGGCTGCACCAATTTACATTCCCATGAACACTGCATAAGGGTTTCCTTTTTTCCACATCCTCGCTGACACTTTCTTCTTGCCTTTTTGATAACAGTCATTCGAACAAGTGTGAGATGATATCTCATTGTGGTTTTGATTTGCATTTCCCTGATGATTAGTGAAAGATTAGCATCTTTTCATGTACCTGTTGGCCATCTGTATTCTTCTCTGGAAAAATGTCTTTTCAGATCCTCTGCACATTTTTAATTGGATTGTTTGGGGGGGTTGGTATTGAGTTGTGTGAGTTCTTTATATATTTTGGATATTAACCCATCAGATATATGATAAACATTTTCTCCCATTCAGTACATTGCCTTTTCATTTTGCTGACACACTTTTAAACACTTAGTTTCCTTGACCAGGTTGAGAAACAAAAACAAAAACTGGAATGAAGCCAAGACAAAACCACATTTAAAAGATGCTTTTCGTGTGTGTGTGTGTGTGTGTGTGTGTATGTGTGTAATCCCATTACTATAAACTCCTAACTCAATTAATTCAATTACTCACTCATCAAATAGTTATTTAAGAACCTAGTATGTGCCAAGCACTAGAGAGACAGTGATGAACAACTGGTTCCTGGATTTCTGGTTAAACAGGGCAGAAACCATAGCCCCTGAATCTCAAAATCACATTGAAATGACAACAGAGGCACTTTTTCAAAACAAAATGTACAAACCAAAAGGACAAGAGGTATGGCCGAAAGACACATCAATAGGAATTTTTTTAAAGCAAAAAGCAGATGGTGGTGTGGTAGCTGACTGAATAGACCAGACAGAGAACTCCTTATCCTCAGTACTTCCAGGGAAATGTGCTTAGAAGAAGCTGGCACTCCCTATAGATACCCAGAGAAGCTTTGGATTGAGAAGTACCAAATAAGACAGGTATCACACACACATTCATAGCCTTTGCCCGTAATAGGCCCTTAATACATGTCTAGAGGTTCTAATTAGACAAGGGGAATGGTAGACAAAGAACACACCAGGATGAAGGTGACTATACTCCTGTTCTCTTATGAGGTGGGTGGAAGCAGAAATAAATAGCCAGGCATTTCACCTCAGAAGTAACCCAAATTCCAACTTTATTTCACTAAAAACAAAACAAAAAACAATCACTTTCAGGGGCAACCTACTTTAAAAGTTAAAAACAAGAGTCTACAAATAAATGTATATCACAATAGCTATGTCTACTTTTGGGGAGCTGAATTCTATTATTTTTTGGTTTATCTGTAGGTAGAGTAGTAGAAAGCTTTGAACGAAGCAAAAGAGAATATGTAACAATTAAGTGCAGTGGATGGGGTAGGGGAGGGCTTATGTAAAGTTATTTTGATAAAAAGAATATTATCATTACACTAAAATTTCACTTATTTTCAAGATATATCTAACTTAACTCCTATACGCAATAAAACTAAAGGAAAAAATGCTGTGTGTACATTTTAAGTATGAACCATAAGCAGTGTTCTATTTATACCACTGTTACATTTCTGATATTTTTCTAATTCCAACCAGAATGTTTACACACACACACAAATTTTTCTTATGAAGGAACATTTAGTTCTTCCATGGACATTTTTAAAAATTAGATTATTAAGCATGAGGATTTATTTGCATTCATGTTACTTTTCCCCACGAATACTAAAGGGAAATTAAACTAAAGGTCAGCAAGAGCTGTTTCAATTTCAAGGAGAATATTCTAAGTTCTTCTGATGACAATTAAAACGGAAACTCAAGTGGCAAGAAAGGTAAGCATTTAATAGAAAAGTATATTAATTATAATAAAAAACTAGGAAAATATATTTTTAAGTGGCTAATAGAAGATTAACTTCCTGGAATCTTTCTAGAATACAAAAAAGCAAAAAAAAATTTTTTAATTAAAAAAAAAAAATGATGAGCCCATGGGTGACAGGTTTCTTTTGTCAAATCCCATAAGCTAATGATTTTTCCCATTTAAAAATGTAACCACCTTAAAGTCATACAAAATAGGTGGCAGGATAAGCTACCTTGCCAACCCTATTTCATGAAGTCTGACAAAAGCGTATCACAATTCCAGGAGACCTAGATTTCTATAGAACTTGGTCCTAACTTGATATGATAAATAAGCTCAGACAACCCTTTGCTTCCAGCTGTATTAGTCTCTTTTAATTCTTTTGGCAATCTCTTCCAGTTAACTACTTCTGTTCATAGGTGATGAAATGTCTAAGGAACCCACTTCAGATGTTGGCTCAGCTGTGAGGATGGTCTTTCCCTTTACTTCAACTCAGAATTAAGACTTTTGACCCTTGTTTTTTATATCCCAGTCTCAGAAGTATTTCCCACTGCAGATGTTATCTGAAGACAGTCTATATGCTTTATAGTAGTGGTCTACAACCAGGTACTTAGCTTCTCCAGGAACATTACACAGGATGGATTTTAAAAT